TGCCCTCAGCTCCCGAGAGTAGCTGGGACTACAGGCAGGGGGCCGCCACCACGCCTGGCTAATTTTTTGTCATTTTAGTAGAGACGGCGTCTTCCACGCTGTAGCCCAGGATGGTCTCGATCTCCCGACCTCGCCTGATCCACCCGCCCTCACCTTCCCAAGTGCTGGGATTACAGGCGTGCAGCCACCCGATCTCCTGACCTCGTGATCCGCCTGTCTCAGCCTCCCAAAGTGCTGGGATTACAGGCTTGAGCCACCATGCCCGGCCCAAGATGGTTTTCAATTTACTTTTCCCAAATCCATCAGAGGAATTACTATCTATGATACCTACAACCTTACAAAATGTGTTTTTTAAATAATAAGACTTGAAAGTTGAAATTATTTCTTGATCCATGGGCTGCAGAATGGGTGTTGTGGTAGCCAGCATGAAAACAACAGTTATCTCCTTGTACATCTCTAGCAGAGCTCTTGGCTGACCAGTGCATTGTCAATAAGTGGTAATACCTTGAAAGGAGTCTTTTTTCTGAGCAGTAGGTCTCAACAGTGGGCTTAAAATATTCAGCAAACCATGTTCTCTAAACAAACGTACTGTCGTCATCTTTGTTTTTCCATTTACAGAGCACATACAGAGTAGATAAAGCACAATTCTTGAGAATCTTAGGATTTACAGAATGGTAAATGAGCATCAGCTTCAACTTACAGTCACCAGCTGCATCGACCCCTAACAAGGGAGTCAGCCTGTTCTTTGAAGATTTGAAGCCAGGCATTGACTTCTCCTCTCTAGCCAGGAAAGTCCTAGATGGCATGTCCTTCCTTGCTATTATGTCTGCATTGAAAATCTGTTGTTTAGTGGAGCCCCTTTCATCAATGATCTTAGATCTTCTGGAGAACTTGCTGCAGCTTCTCCATCAGCAGTTGCTGCTTCATGTTATACTATTATATTATGGAGATGTCTTCTTTTCTTAAACATTATGAACCAACCTCTGGAGTTTCCAACTTTTCTTCTGAAGCTTCCTCTCCTCTCTCAGTCTTCATAGAACTGAAGAAAGTTGAGGCTTTGCTCTGCATTAGGTTTTGTCTGAAGGGAATGTTGTGGCTGGTTTAATATTCTATCCAGACCACTCAAACTTTTTCCATATCCGCAGTAAGGCAGTTTTACTTTCTTACTATTCATGTGTTACAAAAGGAACACTTTTACTTTCCTTCAAAAAATTTTTTGCTTCCATTCACAACTTGACTGGATGGCCCAAGAGGCCTGGTTTTCAACCTCTCTTGACTTTTGACATGCCTTTCTCACTAAGCAAAATCATTTCTAGCTTTTGATTGCAAGTGGGAGACATGTGACTCTTTATTTCACCTGAACACTTAGAGGCCATTGTTTGGTAACTAATTGGCCTAATTTCTATATTATTGTGTGTCAAGGAATAGGGAGGACCAAGGAGAGGGAGAGAGATGGGGGAAAAGCTGGTCAGTGGAGCGGTCAGGACACACAGTATTTATTGATTAAGTTCACTCTCTTAGATAGACATGGTTTGTGGTGACACCAAACAATTACAATAATGACATCAAAGATCACCAGTCACAGGTCACTATAAGAGTAATGAGAGAGTTTGAAATATCGCAAGAAATACCAAAGTGTGACAGATACATGAAGTGAGCACATGTTGTTGGAAAAATGGTGCTGATAGACTCGCTCAATGTAGGGTTGTCACAAACCTTCAATTTGTAAAAAATTAAATGTCCATGAAGAACAATAAAGGTGAAACACAATAAAATGAAATGTGCCTGCATTTGCTTCACTACAGTAAGCATTTTACTAACAATATGTATTTCTAGCATTATGCTGTAAACCTCAAATATAAAAAATAAAATTGATTTTGAAATGTCTTAAGTTAATGGAGTTTAAATAGAAAGGAAAAGTTCTTTAGGCATCCAAACAAAAAGATCAAACTACTCATGAAGGAAAAAATCAGATTAACACCAGACTTCCTCACCTCAATGAACTTGAGACCACATTCAATAGCACGATACAGTGGAGTAAATGATTCTCTATCCAGTCCAACTGTCTTTGATGTATAAAGGTCACAGACAAATTGTTTGGAATAAAAAGGAACTTCAGAAAACATTTTGCACATAAATCTTTCATGAGGGAACTCCTAGAGGATAAGCAAGAACCAAGAGCAAAGTGGAAAAACTTAGGCAAAAGAATTAGCAACAAGAACATTGAATGTATTTAATTGCATATGTCAGCCAGAAATAGAGAGGGTGATAGTGAAAGCACAGAATATAAATGTTTCATGCTTTGGCAATGCAGAAACCATAAGCCAACAAAAATTAAAAGGAAAAATACAGCGGAACATAAATTAACACTCTCTTCTTCATTGTCATAGCTGGAAAGCAAAAGATTCCATTAAAGCAGACCAATCAATCAAAAGAATTACATAAGAATATATAATTGTACAAAAGCAATATGCACTAAGAAAGATAATTAAAATTAACACTAGGTTATGCAGGAGCAGAAAAGGGAGGAAGAGGAGAAGAGGAATTATTTTATTGTTACTCAACATAGGAAACCAACAGATACTGCCTAAAGAATGAGAAAAATGTACAAAGTGGTATAAGTCTAAAGAAAGCTACTTGAACACAATACAAACATTCTTAAATTTCAAAATAATTAACATTTAAAAGATTTATAGGAAAAGACCACATAGCAGATTATATATATATAATCTATATAGTAAAAGATAATCGGTATACACTATCTATATGAGGATATATGTATGTATATACATTTGTGGAAACTGCTGTTTAAATATATGATTTTTTGAGGAATCTCTTTATACATAGAGAGAGAGACATAGCTATATAGAAATATAAAGACTTGAGGAATCTAGAGAGATACCAATGTTTGAGAATTTAACTCACCTATTAAAATGGAAGACACTTCTAAATTGTATTATCGTGTTAAATATATGTTGCTGTGTAACAAACCAGCATTGAACTTAGTGGCTGGAAGCAACAATCGTTATGTTGCATCTCACAGTCTCTACGGGTCAGGTACTCAGAAAGGGATTAAAAGGGATTGGTAGGTGGCTGTGGCTCAGGTGTCTCCTGAGGCTGCAGTCAGTTCCCTGCGGACCTGCAACTCTCAAAGACTGGACTGGAGGACTCACTTCTAAGGTGGCTCACTCACCTGGTTGGCAGGTTGCTTTCTCTCCACATGAGCCTCTCCACGGTTTTTTGGAGTGTCCTCATTGACATGGCATCTTGCTCTCCCCAGAATGAAGAACCCAAGAGTTCCATGGAGAAGCTGCAGTGTTTTTAATATCCTCACCTCAGGAGCAACACACCGTCAATTCTGTCATATTCTGTTGGTCACACAGACCAGTTCTTCTTCATCATAGGGGGACTACATAAGGGTGTGAAGACCAGGAGATAAGGATTATTGAGGGCCGTTTTGCAGGATGCCTAGTACAATCAGGAATCAAGTAAAACTCCATGATTGTGTTCAAGAGATTCACCCAAAACATAGTTATTTTAAAAGGTTGAAACTCAAAGCACAGGCACAGCAAAAGCAGAGGTCTCAGTCCTTGTATGAATCAAGGTAGTTTTTCAGCCAAACAAAAACATTAAATGAAATAACGTCAAGGTACTTTGAATCATTTTGCCTCATAATTTACAAAAAAAAAATTAGCAGTCATGAATATCAACAGACTAAGTATTGTAAAAGAGGCTTTCAAAAAGCAGAAATTACAGAGGAGACAAAGAAAATAGGCAAAATACATGATTTACAGGAGATTTTGTTCATTTCTTTTGCTTTGTGTTACCCTCTTCTCATGGTCCTGCTTCCTTGGGTTATTTGAATATATTTTTTATTCCATTTTAAATAATCCATTGTCCTTTCTGGCTGTTTCTTTTTGTATTCGTTTATTAGTAGTTTCTCTAGGGATTACAATACATACATTTAACATTTTATAGTCCACTTAGAATTAATATCTTACCATTTCAAGTAAACTATAGAAGGCTTGTAACTCTATTGGTTCATTTATCCTCCCCTCTTTATGTTATAGTTGTCATATATACCACATCTAAATAATAATTATACCCAGAAAATGTTACAATATTTGCTTTCAACAGTCAGATACAGTTTAAATATTTTAAGAAGAGAAAAAGAATTCATTATATTTACCTGATATTTACCATTTCTGTTGCTCTAATGTCATTCTTGAAGTTCCAAGTGTTCCTCCAGATCATTTTTCCTTCTTCCTGAAGAACTTGGCTAAGCATTTCCTTTGTAGGTCTGTTAGTGACACATTCTCTTACTTTCCCTTAATCTGAGTATGTCTTTATTTCACTGTCATTTCTAAGATATTTTTGCTAGATATAGAATTCTGGGTTGACAATCATTTCCTTTCAGTAATTTACAGATGTTGTTCCACCATCTTCCTGCTTCCATAATTTATGATGAGAAATTTGCAATTATCCAAAGTACTATTCTCTGATACATAGTATACTGTTTTAATCTGGCTGCTTTTAATTGTCTTTCCTTTACCTTTGATTTTCATTTATAATGCATTTTTTAAAGTTTATCTTGTTTAGAGTTTGTTAACCTTCTTGAACTTATACATATGTTTTTCATCAAGTCTGGGAAGTTTACAACCATTATTTCTTCAATATTTTTCTGCACCAGTATCCTCCTCCTCTTCTTCCAAGACTCCAAAAATAAGAGTATTAGACTTTTTGATATTGTTTCACAGGTGCCTGAGGCTCTGTTTTTGTTTTTTTTTATTTCATTTTTCTCTCAATCTGCAGGCTGTGTAATTCCTATCGATTAACCTTCAAGTTCACTGACAATTTCCAGGATATCTCTCACAATTTTTGGCATTCAGGGGCCTCCTTTCCTGGTTCTTCTGGACAGAAAGAGAGTGTTATCTCCAAGATTTAGCTTCCTGCACTGCCATGCAACTCTGCATGACTAGGACTACCTTAGGAATACAGTGGCAAAAGAAAGGACAAAAAAATTAACAGGGATTATCTCCACATCTTTAAAACAATGAGCCCTTTTTCCAGTTTTTTTCTGTCTGGAACATCAGGTTTTTCTTAGCTTTTTAATTATTTGTGCTATTATGTAGTTCCACATGACTGGGGCCATCTTTGGAGCCAAGTGGCAACAGTAAAGAGGAAGAAATAAAAAGGGATTCACCCCACTCCTTTTCCAGTTCCTCTGGTTGGAGAGTTGGGTCTTTCATCAAAGTTTCAGGGCTTCCAGCACCAGGACCAGCAGCATAGTGTGGTACAGCTCCACAGGTGGAGCTGCCCTTGGGTCAGGATCAAGAGAGGAAAAAAAAGTGGTGGTGAAAACTTCCCCCACACTCCCTGGCATGCAGGGGTCCCTTTTCCTGGTCCTTTGGCTGGAAAGAGAGGTTTTATCCCAGATTTTTGTCTTCTGGGCCCACTGCACAGTTCTGAGATTCAACCTACCCTCAGGTCAGAGATAAGAGACAAAGAAAGAGGGAAAAGGCAAAACTCACCCCCATTTGGGGTTATTATCAAGTTTTGACATTAGTTGCCAATCCTTTTGTCATTACTTACTTTTTAGAGGGCTCAGGGAGTTGTTCCTTATGTTCCCCCCCAAGTTTTCAGCATTTCCAGTGGGACACTAGACAGCAGTGCACTTATTCCATCTTGGCTGGCACAAGTGGTCAGTTATAGAAAAATGCAAATTCTCTCAGCCCAGACTGGAGCAAATGTACAAAAGGGAGTAACAATATAAAAGACAAAAATGACATGATCAATTTAGTATGCCTGAGGGATATATGCTAAACTTTAAATCCTAAAAACATAGACTATATTGTCTTTCCAAGTGACCATGGGACACTTGCAAAATTAACTAAATAATAAACCACACAAATAACTTCCATTAATTCTAAAGTGGAGAGATAATGCAGAAAACATTTTTTAATCACAATGCAATAAAACTAGAAATTGACAAGAAAGTCACAAAACTAAAAGGGCCTCGACCTATACATTGTATGATTCCTTATTAATCAACTTTTGAGTCAGAGGGAAATACAAAGTGAATTACAGAATTTCGGGGAAACAACAATAGTGCAAACATTAAATATTAGAGTTGAGAATATAAATAAAGCAGTTCATAGACTTACATATCCATTTCAGGTATAGATATTTAACAACACTGCACACCTTACTTCCTGTCCTAGGCCTGACTTCCACAGCCTTGCTGGCCGCAGACTCTTTGTGGACATTTGACAATGTCCAGAGACATTGGAGTGACATCTTGTTATCACATACTTAATAGACTACAGGTAGTATAAGCATAACTTTTATATGCACTGGGAAACTAAAAATTTTGTGTGACTCACTATATTGCTGTATTCACTTTATTGAGATGGTCTAGAACCCAACCCACAATATCTCCAAGGCCGGCCTGTATGTGATCTCATTTACTCTTTATAAAGACATCTGGTGACGAAAAATCTCAGAACTCTTTCACAGATAAGAAAACTTAGGCTCAGATAGATGTAGGGAGAAGAGTGAAAATCCCCAAACCACCTTCCCCACCTTCTCCTTCCCCAGGGCTCACCCCTAATTGCCCAGTGCTGTGTCATGTGTCATCCAGACATTTTTCCGTGAATGTACAGGCATGACTATGCAGGAGTGCAGAGGATCGCTATGCGCCAGAGGCCTGACTCACCCTCAGAAATGGTGGCCAAGCCACTCAGGGCTGCTTCCAACAGCAACTGTGTCGCCATGCTCTCTGGAAACTGGTGTGATCAGTCCTAGTGACAGCAGAGCAGGAAGGGAACTGGAGATCATTAGGAGTCACCCAACATGTCACAGACCGGGACATGGAAGCCAAGAAAGGTGTGGTTATATTCATCACAGTTAACGATGATCCTCAGTGCTGGCCACCAGGATCAAACTAGCCACCATTGCCTGAGTTCTGCATGCAGCTGGTCTGCAGTGCTGCCCCACGTGGGACCCTCTCCTTGAGGGGCACATGGCCTTAGGCAGAGCAGCTCTCTTGCCATGAGGCGATGAGGGCCCCACACCCCAGTGTTCACCGCAGCCACTAGGATGCTCACTTTAACCTGGCGGTCACTGAATTGAACAAGGCACAGGTGACCCCTCTTTGGGCGTGACCTCCAATCCAAGCGTCCTGCAGCTGACCCAAGTCCTCACCCTGGAACTCTTCCCTAAGTGTCAGATAACTCTCAGTGCTGACTGGTTTTAGCACAAGACCCTTTGAGTTTTAGGACCTTCCACAAAACACTTTGCAAATACAGCTCGGGAGCGTTGAAAAAGAGCCCCTTCTCCAGCCAATCCCATGATAAGGGCGCCTGAGAGTCAGATCTCATCTCAACCAAGGCTGTGTACTGAATCACCCAGGAAATTCCCCACTGACATTCACATGCAATAGATGGTGGGATGGAGGCTTTTTTTTTTTTTTTTTTTTAAGCATCTCCAGTTGATTAATGTACAGCCAGGTTGGGAATCACTGCTCTAGTGGAAAACTTACCAGGCATAGCAGCAGAAAACAAGGCTGTCTGGGAATCTGAGGGAGCAGGACAGCTTCCTTAGCCTGAGTGTCTTTATCCATCAAGGATAGTTGATGGAACAAAGCAGATTCACAGACAGGCTCCAGGTTGCTAGAGGCTGGGTACGGGCCCACCCCTTGAAGACGGCCCAGGGCCAACTTTTCCCAATTCATAGCAGAGGAAGTTAGTGGATAGAGTTGTCTGATTTTAACTTTTGGTTTCTTTTCTCTCATAGTCTTTTCCTGGCCTTGGCATCTTCTAAAACTCCTCTTTGTAAGCCAACGACGAACAACACTGCCACTGTCCCAGTGAAGGCTGTCTTTCCCGTGGCTGAGAGGCCAAGCGGGCCAGAGGCATGGGTTCTCTGCTTCCTGATCTCAGGGCTGGTGCAGGCTCTGCACGGCTAGGTGCTGACAAGGCCTGGCAAACAGGTGCTCAGTGCCTTTCTGGCTGGAATCTTATGCTCTGTCAGGTGAGTGCTCAGCAAAAAGTGAAGCAAATTCAGTCACAGTCATTCTGTGCCAGTGATGCAGTTTTCAGACACTGACCCTCCGGGTCTGTGCTGATGAACCCTCATGGTGATCATGAACTTCTCCCCAGCCCTCCATGAGAGGACCCTCTGGAAATCTCTCATCACACCTTTCAATTTTAGCCCGTCACTGAAATGATCACATACTGCTGATGAAGACGTTGGGACTTGGAGATGTGTTGACGTGCACATAGCCCGACTTCAAATTCAGGCTATAGCATCCCTGGAGGTAAATATTGATTTGGCATTTCAGTTCTGTCAATATTTACCTCTTAAGTCAATAAAGCTTGATGTTTATCTCAACTGACATTGATATCTGCTTAAAGTTTATTTCTCACTTCCTTCCCTTCTTCAAACAGTTGGGGAAGAGCTTGTGTTGGGCGGGTCGGAGGGTATGGCCCATGGACCCGCTGGTGTGGAATGAGTCCTGAGACTCTCATTTCCTCTCTGGGCCTCAGTATCCTAATGAAGCAGCTACATCGTCTGGGGTAGATCCCCTAGGATTTGCTGTCACCTGCCAGGAAAATTTAGGACAGGGACACACAGGAGGAGTATAGGAGCGGAGGTTTAATAGGTAGAAGAGAGAAAGAGAAAGAGCTTCCTCTGTGGAGGAAGGGGTCTCCAAGCAGAAAGGACCCACTGCTGGTGAATGCACCGTGTTGTGCAGTCATTTGAGGAGGCAGCGTCTGAGTTACGTAGGGATCACAGATTGGTTCGATCAGGTGTGAGGTTTACACAGTGCGTGGAGAAGGCTGCTCTTATTATGCAAATGGGTTTTCCAGTTGATGGGGCCATCTTGTCTGCTCCTTACAGAACACATGACTGGCAGAGAAGTGAAGATGGAGCTGCCATCTGGAAAATATCTAGCCCTGGCTGGGCTCGGTGGCTCATGCCTGTAATCCCAGCACTTTGGGAGGCTGAGGCGAGTGGATCACCTGAGGTCAGCAGTTCAAGACCAGCCTGGCCAACATGGTGAAACCCCATCTCTACTAAAAATACAAAATTTAGCAGGGCGTGGTGGCAGATGCCTGTAATCCCAGCTACTCTGGAGGCTGAGGCAGGAGAATTGCTTGAACCCAGGAGGTGGAGGTCGCAGTGAGCCAAGATCACACCACTGAACTCCAGCCTGGGCAACAGAGCGAGACTCTGTCTCTAAATAAAAAAATAAATAAATGAAAATGTCTAGTCTTTAGTGCCGGCCGGCGTTCACCCATGCAAGCTCCCAGCTCGCAGGCTGCTCTTTGTTAAAAAATGATTTGGGACTGCTTTTCATTAAAAAGGAAAGCCTGACGGAGGACTCCCATACCCTTGCTATCTGCCTAAGTAATTCCTTCTTAACTCCTGGATCACTAGGTCGTTTCGGAGACCCCTTCGCTGCGGCCATCTCATGGCTCCGCTGTTGCATATCCAGAAGGACAGAGCAGGGGGTGGCCTCAGGTTTGCAAGTGGTAAAACCTAAAAAATAAAACACCGTTTTTCATTTGGATTGATTTTTTAAAAGGTGCTGATTTCAGCTGGACCTGCTTGGAAGCAAATTTCTGGGGAAAGTAAAGTCATAAAAACAATCAGATGACCTTAAAACTGGGACCATGGAGGTGGGGTCCCATCAAAGAATCCTGTGGGTGAGGCTCAGCGGAGGTAAGCTCCCTGCAACGTCTCCCAGCCTGCAGCCCGAGGCCTCTCAGACCCGACACTCTGGCAGGCAGCTGCAGAGGGACAGCCCCACCATGCCTGCCATGCTCAGAGGCACCGTGGGACCAGCATTGGCTAGCAGAGAGCTAGGAGGTCACTCAGGCCAAATGCTGGCAATTTCACGGAGAACCCATAGTGACAGAACTTCCACGGAGGACTGTCCTCGAGACAGTAAAATCAGTGAAATGGAGTCAGTAAAACCGAGCACACGAGGCCTGATGCCCGCGAGTGGGAGGAGCCCAGGCAGCCTTTACCAGCGTGTGCGTTCATTCTAACATGTCAGCTCGACTGGGCCACAGGGTGCCCAGATATTTGGTTAAACATTATTCTGGGTGTGTCTGGATGAGATTAGCATTTGAATCGGTGGACTGAGCAAAGCAGGTGGCCCTCCCTGTGTGACTGGGCCTCTTCCAAGCAGTTGGGGGCCTGAAGAGAACAAAAAGCATTGGCAAGGGAGAGCGCAATCTCCCTGCTCCCGCAGCACTGAGCGCAGATCCTGGAGGGACAGGGATGACCCTCAGCCCCCGCCCTCCGGGACCTCATGGTACAGGTGAGGGAGGGTAGGTGCTCAGGTTGGAGTCAGTGCAACTAAGGGAATCTGCATGTGCACCTTGATGGCAGAGGGCCCCGGAGGCTTCCCTTCTCTCAGCACCCCCTGGAACGCAGCAGCACCTTCCCCAGAGGACGCCAGGTAGACTCAGTGGCCAGAGGTTGGGGAGATTCTGCACAGGTGGCTCAGGGTGTGCTGGCACATACCACCCTCACCAGGGCCCAGGGCCCTTGAGCACCCCAGTGTTCCAGCGCTGGCCTTGAACCAGGGATGGTCTTCTGGCGAGGGCTGTGGGGCTAAGAGCCTGAAGGAGGGCCCTCGGGTGAGAAGAGGCTTCTGGGAGGAGCAGGAGACAGAGGAGGGGATTTGGGGGAAGAGGGGGAGGGGAAGGGACAGGGAGGGGAGGGGAAGGGATAAGGAGGGAAGGGGGACCGCCCAGCGGAGTGGGGAGGAGACACAGGGTGGAAGGCTGGGGGTTGCCCTTGAGGTTTGGTGTCCAAGTCTGAGATCAGGGTTCTGCTGTTGGTGGGCGATCCTGCTGCTGGCTCAGCTCCAGTTCGGGCCCTGGCTGCCTCACTCAGATGAGGGGCCGGGCGTCCCTCTCCTGCTTTCCTGTGCTTGGACTGTGGCAGCCACCACACCCACCACGGAGAGGGTGGTTAATCCCCAAACTCACCATGGAGTTACCCCTCTCCCTGCTCACCCCAGGCCCTATGGGTGCCTTTCCTGGCCTCTGGCCTAGGGCTTTGTGGAGTGAACATTGGCTCCTCCTGCTTTTGGGGGCCACTAGCCAGTGAGGTGAGGCCAGACCTCCTGAAGGGAGCGTCCCGTGTCCCCAGAGTCAGGGGTTGGGGTCAAGGGTCGAGGTCAGTGGGTCAGGTGGGTGCATTGCGCAGCGTGTGCTCAGGGCTGCCTGTGACCCGGAAAAGACTTTCTCAGGCCTATCCCCACCCGCACCAGCCTGGAGAGAGCCCTGTCAGGCTGAGGCGGAATTTTCTGGAGCCCCGGGGGCTGTGCAGGTTGGGGAGGAGGACGCCGAGCATCGGATGAGCGGTGACTTCCGACCCACTGGGGAAGCCACAGGCACGGCTGAGTCGGAGGCAAGGAGCAAGGCCTCCTGTTAGAAAGTCCCAGAAAGAAACAAACCCTCAGAGACCACCCAGAAGGCCAGGATCATCCGAAGGGCCGCCCCGTGGGGTCTCCATGGCTGCACGTGCATCCTGAGGCCCAAGTCCTCCTCGCAGCGGCTTGACTGGGTGCTGGGGACTCTGCAGGGACCGCGCCGTCAGTGCTCCAGCTTTCAGGAAGCTCCCGCCTCGGGGTGAACAGACAGCAGGTAAAGAAGCCTCATGCAGGGCAGCAGGGGATACCCTGGAGAGGAAAGCGAGGCAGAAAACAGACACTGTGCCAGTGGCTCCTGAAGGGATGCGCACTCGGGGATCTCGGAGAGGGTCCATGTGAGGACGGCAAGGGCAGAGGAGCCTGTGGGAGGGGTAAGCACGAGGGAGGCCAAGGCCCTGAGATGTGAGGCCCACATCCTGCTGCAGGCGCTCTGCCTCCAGCAAGAGGTGGCTCTGGAGGACAACTCTCCACAGGCTTGGACAGCCATGCTCCCAGACAAGAGCTTCTGCTGTGCTCCCAGATGAGAGCCAGAGCCCCACCTGTCAGGAGGCCACACTCATGCCCAGGACTTCTGGGCCTCGGCAGTGCTCCCAAGGGTGTAGCACCAGGTGCGGCAGGGCAGGTATGTGGACCAAGTGCGCTGGGGAGGTGGAGGAATAGCAACATCCCGTGGGCCAACCATCTCTTGTGTGTGCACACGGCGCCTGTGCACCCAAGGTCACCCGTGTGCACGCCACCTCTCCACTCCTGGCAGCAGCCACCCTTGCACCACGTGGCTCTGTGGCCTGGCTCCACAGGACTCCCTGCTGCTGCCAGGAGCGATTCCTGGAGTCCAGCTGGGGTCAGCAGGTGGAGGTAGCAGGGCCTCTGTGCTGGCTTTGGGACCGGACCAGCAGCATTGCAGACGCCCTGGCTCATCCACCTGGGCACACCTGAGGCCTCTTGCCCTTATCTCCCAGGGCCCTAGTGGTTCCCTCCACCATCCCATCCCAAAGCTTCACCTTTCCAGTGTAGCCCCAGGCCCTAGAGCAGGCGTGTCCACCTTATTGTACACACAGCGTTTGACTCGGAGCCCGAGACATGTATCTGATACAAATGGGGCTGTTCTGGATGAGGGAGGGGGCACCCAGCCCCCAAGTCCGGCTCCCCAGCTCCCTGACTGCCCTGGCTCTGCTGAGCACCTTCGAGACCATATTGGAAGCTCTCAGCGAGGCTCCTGGACCCTGGCATCCCCGAAACCCCCTGAGGGACCCACTTTGCCAGCTGCATGTCTGTGTCGCACGGAACTGTCTCCTTGCTCTGCAAGCAGGTGGAATGCAGGAGCAGGCAGGAACATCCAACCCTTCTGAGTCAGACACTCGAGAGCTCTGCAGACACGAAGACAATGCCACGCCGCCCCCTAAATGCTTTTTGTTTTGGAAAATATAGCTGTTTGTCCTAAGGTATTTACGTTGACATATAACAGGTTTATGATTGTTTTAATGAATTAATGGGTATTTTAAATGCTCTTAGTTTTGATGTCTAGTGTTTCTCGTTGGTGATTTCTAATGTCTAGTGTTTCTCGTTGGTGATTTCTAATGTGGCATCGTGGCTGCATTCAACCCCCATAAACACATGCTCCGTCAGGGCCTCCATAGCTCTTTAGACCCAATGTTTGAGTCCCGGGCTCCAGATCGTGTCTCTGCCCCTCCCTGCTCCCTCAACCAACAGCCCGGGCGACGCCCAAGAGCTGCCCTCCCACTCGGCTCCAGGAGACGTTTAAATGGGGCCTGACTCCCCCCTCTCTGATCTAAAAGATAACCGGAAGCAGCAGAGAAAACATCTGAAGTGCTTCCTGGACACACCGGTTAGGAAGTTTCTGCACGAACCCAGGTAAGAGCTGGACTAAGTGGGAGTCCGTGGGTGGGAGGAGGGAGAACGCCTGCCTGGGCGTTTACAGAGATGAGTTTGCAGGGATAATGATGCCGGGGTTTCAGGCTTCAGGCCCAGCCCCAGGAAGAGAACGGCAGCAGGAAAAGTCAGAGAGCGAGGAGGGGGAGCAGGAGGTGGAGAGCTCGGCCCCTCCTTCACTGCTGCCCTCTGGGTGACGCTCAGCGGAGGCACCACATTGCGGCTGCCAGGGCCCCAAGACAACCTCTGCACCGTTTATGGGATCCCATTAGGGGAGCAGCGGCCCTGCATGACCCCACAGGTGAGCAGGACACCTCATCACAGAGTAGGCACGTGAGCAGACCTCACTCTCACACAGCTGCCTCCCGGGCTGCGCAGGTCAGGTGCTGAGAACACAAAAGAAAATGAGACAAAGTCGCCACCCTGGAGTTTACAAGCTGGCGTGGGAGACAGGCTGGCACTGAGGATGACAGTGGAGAGACATCGGGCCCGGAAGAACCAGAGGTGCTGGGGAAGCCGGGTCAGCAGAGAGACCCCAGTAGAGTGGGAGCCGGAGGACGGCGGCGACTGCAGCCGACTGTTTCAGGTGGCATCCTCGTCAGGAGAGGACCTTGAGCGGTCATGGGCTTCCTGGGAACCTGCCTACAGAGGAAACGATTACTGGGTGCAGATGTCTTGAATATTTAGTGTATTCCACGTTGTCAGTCAATAAAACAGCTTTGCCAGCGTAATACTGACAAAATCAAGTTCAGGCTGTAAGCCCAAGGGCTTCCAAGAAAAGTGGATCTGGTGTCCAGTGGGGGCACTGCCTGATTCCCAGGCGGAGTCCAAACTGCGGGGAGAAACAAGGACCCTGCCGGAAGAAGGGACCTGCCCGACTGGTTCCCCCGCACCCACGTCAGGAGTTTTCCCAGAAAGCCATCCACTTTGTTAGACGCAAAATAAAGGTCATTTGGAGAAAAACCTGCCAGCAGCTGCTGCTGCTTGAAAATAGAAAAGATTTTAAAAGTAGCAGTGTTTTCGGAGGCCAAGGCGAGCAGATCACCTGAGGTCAGGAGTTCGAGACCAGCCTGGCCAACATGGCAAACCCCGTCTCTACTAAAAAATAAAAAAATTAGCTGGCCTGGTGGTGTGCACCTGTAATCCCAGCTACTTGGGGAGGCTGAAGCAGGAGAATCACTTAAACCTGGGAGGCGGAGGTTGCAATGAGCTGAGAGTGTGCCACTGCATTCCAGCCTGGGCGACAGAGCAGGACATCGTCTCAAAAAAAAATGCAACAGTGGTTGAATCGTGCATTTTTATGTATTATCCTCAAAATCTGAGGAGATAAGAAAGAATATACGCGGATGGAGAAAACTATTAATAATTATGCATAATATATCTACTTGGTTCATATAATATAACATAATATATATATTATAACATTTAATATACTTAATATAATATTTAATATACTATTATGAATACATATTATAATAATTTAACTTGATCATCTCTAATACCTAATACATATATTATAGTAATATATTCTATATTCGCTATTGTTATATATTTATATTAGAGAGATATAGTATATTATACTGATACGTAGTAGTAGTATAACATATGAATATATTATATTTTTCTTTATTTTATGTATGTACATTTGCGATTATATTATATATATAATACATTTATTATAATTATATTTTATCATATTATAAATTATAATTTAACTACATATAATACTTATATCTTTATTATATAACATTTATCAGAGGCAAACTGCCTTCGTAGGAACTGATCGTGTGACCTCCATCATCACATCTGACTCAGCAGCCTCCAAATCCCTGCTACTTTCCCTGGCAGCCGCTACCCACCTCACAGCTGTCCTTTGCAGATTAGCGTAAATGTTCCCTTAAATATTCATTTGTCCGCTCAGCTTGACAGGTGAGGAATGATGTTGCTTGGGCGTGTTTCTGCCCCAAGTGGCCCTTTGAAGCTGGGACCCTTGGATCCCGCTTTCTCATATGAGCCTCCTAAGGGGGCTCCCAGCTCCTGGACGGGGACTTCTCCAAGGCCTAGGGCCCCTCATCTGGTCCAGTTACAAACTTCCTCATCCAGATACCACAGTTCATTTCCCAGTTCTCCTCCCCACCAGACTCGGAGATTTTAACTGATCATTCTGCAAAGACCTGTATCTTCAAAATACAGTTACATTCCTGAGGTCCTGGTATGGTTAGGGCTGCAACACCGAATTGGATGGGGACGTAATCCAGCGGCCTGACAATACCACGTATGACAAGCTGCGTCTTGGCGGTAGCACTGTTTCTTCCAGTGAAAGCATCTTTGAGTGTGTTCAGAAAGCCTCCTTTTGGGGCCAGACCTTGCAGAGAATCCTTCAGAAACTGGACAACGCCACCCAAGGCAGTCAGTGGGGAGGACGCATTGGGTGCCTCATTGGTCCCTGGATCTGCCTCACAGTCCTCTATGTTCTTCCTCATTCCCTCTACTCTTTCTCCGCTTTGGTTGACCTTGAAGCTCATTCCTGGTGAAGGCCCCGGTGGGAGCAGTGCAGTGACAAGAGGAGTCTGTTTCCGTCAGCACCCTCACACTCTCCAGTGGTCCATTGGAGATGCCTGTGACCTCCTGATGCTGAGGAGCCCAGAGTGGGCAGCCCTCGGGCCCAGGCTCCATCTGGGTGAGGCCTGTTTTATTATCAATATTCACCACAATAATTTGTGAGAGTGTAATGCTCATATTCCCATTTAATAGATGAATAAACTGAGGCAAGATGAAGTGACTCAGCTGAGGCCACACCGCAGTTTAATGGGGAAGCCAGGATGAGAACTGGCGGCTTCTATGTCTGTGATCTACACTCTGGTGGCAGAGGACGTCAGAGACCCATGTCAACGGTGAGGAGGTGACATGCTGGTCCCTTCCATAAAAGCTGTTTCATAAAATTAAAACGCACACACAGTAAAGATCCAGATTTACAGAAATGAGCATGAGGGGCTATTTACCAGTCAACAGATCTCCCCCAGTGGTTCTTCACTTGGGGCTGAGATGCTCCTGAACGGCAGGGCCTGGGAAGAGAACTTCTTGCTCCCCCTAGAGCTGGCTGACCCATACCCAGGGGATTCTGAGCGCTAGGGGCTGGGAGCAGCATGTCCCACGTGTTTCCCAGGAGTTAGTCATGTTTGCTCCTAAAACCTATTGCAATTGAGGAATCTAATTAAACAACACAGCAACTGCAAAAACAGTGCAAAAAGAATGAGTGACTGTTTCTATGAAAACTTAGATGAACTACTTTGGAAAGATTCAATAAAGAGCATGCCTAAATATATATACTGGGGCCAGGAGCAGTGGTTCAAAGCTGTCACCCCAGTGCTTTGGGAGGCTAAGGTGGGAAGGTGGTTTGAGGCCAGGAGGTTGAAACCAGCCTGGGCAACATAGCAAGACCCTGTCTCTACGAAAAAAAAAAAAAAAATTCAATTGGGTGTGACGGCACCTGCCTATGGTCCCAGCTGCTCTGGAAGCTGAGATGAGAGGATCACTCCGGCCCAGGAGTTCGAGGCTGCAGCGAGCTGCAATTGTGCCACCCTGGGTGACAGAGCAAGACTCTGTCTCTAAAAAATACGTAAAATATGCACATCTAGATACAGTATTATGTGTGGGCGAGACACCAGTAAAAGATGGAAACAATCATAAAAGTCAGGCAGAATTCCACCTAAGATTATCTTTACCTCTCAATCTACCTTGTTTTAAAATCTTTTAATGAGCCATAAAAGACATACGACTAGTCTTTATTGTACAACTTGATGAATTCTGATCCTGTGGCCATACAGTTCAACACAAAGAACATTCCAGCACTCAGAAAGCTCCCTAGTGCCCTCGTCGGTTGGTGTCTGTCAACCCCAAGGATGTCACAGTCATTTGGACTCCCCTGGCACAGTCATTCCACTTAGAGACCCTGGCAGAAGTCCCAGATCATAATCAGGAGAGAGATTTACACAAGAAGGGGCAGAAAGCGCTAGTCAGTAGTGAACCCAACTCCAAAATCACCCTACGCTAAAAAGAAAAGTGAAACTGTACTTTTTATGTTTGAAATTTAAGAGAGATGTATTTTTATTAAATCATTCCAACCTCTACAACTTTTCTATTCATCAGCCAACGAGCCAGAGAAAGGGGGTTTCTGTTGCAGTCGGAGTATAAAAATGAGCTGTAATTTTCAAAATTTGACCTCATCTAACTTTCTCCAGCTATGCCATTCACGGAGCATCCTCAGTCCAGTGCTTGTTGCATAAAACGTAATAAAAGGGCGGCGCCACCACACCAAACGCTGGGGTGTCTGTAGCAGTGAGCGCGTCTCACGGGGATTTTGTCTGAATGCCTGTTCCTCCACTCGCCTAATCCATGGAGGTCAGGGAACCACCTACCTCAACGCACACAGTAGGTTCTTAATAAATGTTGGTCCATGGAAGTCAAGTCAGCCCATAAAGGGAAGAGTAGGAAACAGGTGTGCAGGGAGGGAGGAATAAAACTGCCCTGGGCCTGCCAGGCCTGGGGCCACCCCTCAGGGAGCTCTGGAGCCAGACAGCCTCCGGGCACCCCCAGCTGAGGGAAGGAGCTGGGCACAGCCCTGTGTCCTGTCTCTCAGCCAGTGGAGGAGGAGCTTGGTCAGTCCCTACAAAGGCTGCAGTGGAGATCCAGCACCCCAGTACCCACCTACCCATGAAGGCACAGGAGGAAAATTCCAGAAACAAGGAGGCCCTTGTGAAGCCACACAGGTGTGGAACAGCGTGGCACGGAACCCCCGCAATGCCCATACCCCGTGAGGACCCCAAGGTCCCCATCTGTCCCTGGATGTAGTACAGTGGTTGTCCTCGAAGCCACTGGGGTCTCGGCCTGCTGGCTCTGCCCACGTCCCGTACTGGACGCCCTGGCTCGTAACCCCTCCCCACAGCACCCCCTCCTGCATTCCTTGGCTCACCCATGGGTCCCTCTTGGGAACGGCTCCCCAACTCCACTGCTTCAGGGAGAAGCAGCTTAATGCTTCCTGAAGCTTCTCCAGCCCCACCCCACTTACCCCCAGGATGTGAGCGCTTGGACCCACAGTCCCAGTGACCTGCCTCCATGGTAAAAGAGGGCCTGAATGGGGGTTCTTCTACGCGGGGGTCACGGGCTGATTTCAGAATCTGCTGACTGTTATTGTGCTGCCTACACAGAAAACTGAACATGAGAGCTACAATTTGCCAAAAATTCGGGATTTAGGGAGCCCCCATCGAATCCCAAGACCAAAGACAGGTCTCTCGATGGGAAAATTTCAGGAAGTGACATCAGGTGTCCTAATCCTCTGAAGCCCAGAACGTGTGTGCACTGCGGCGGGGCTGCCCCGGAGAAGGTTCAGGCGACCTTCAGGTGAGGACTCCAGGCCCTTCCAGAGAACATTCCTGAGCCCTGCACCAACTGCCCTCCGTTCACTCCGCTCCAAGGGGGTCTCAGAAACCCTCAAAAGAGTGATAAGAAGCCATCTTACTAACGAATCTCTGCCTCTTGCTGTGTACCATATTTAGAACTCTTTCTTAAGCTGATATGAATTTTGTTAAAAGCACACAGAGAATGTTTTCTCATTGCCTTCCTCTCTGAGTCACGTATTCCATTCCCCCAAACACTCCCACATTTAGTAATGTGAAAAACAACGAAAGATTGGAAGGCCCATAGATGAAGGTTAAATCAATTCTGATAGACCCTGATGTGTGACAAAATATAATGCAGCCATTTAAAATGATGGAATAATACTTGAAATATAAAAAAGTTTAAAATGCAAACCCCAGAAGCATCTACAGTATATCCCCAATTTTCTAAAACACACAGGCATACACAGGCTTCTGAGAAATGATTAGAAGGAAATATGCCAATGTGTTAATATTGGTTATCTCTGGTAAGACTAAAGGTGATTTTAATTTTTTTTTCTTCTTTCCTGTGTTTTCCAAATTTTCCTTGGTAAGCATACATTGATGTTAATTTTTTGATTGAAAATTCTACTGGCTCTGTGGCCTGTCTTGTGTAATCACAGCTGAGCTCACTCATCCTCTGGGCTTTGGAACCGTAGCGAGGAAGGCAGCTTTTCCCCAATGTGCCCTTGGGTTATCCAGATCCACCCAGAGCCTGGGTCTTGCTGGGTGCTGCCCGGGGGATGCCAGGACACGGCTGAGTGTTGGCCACAGCTGAGTGCAGACACACATGGTGCAGAGCACAGCGTGATGCGCTGTGGGACGATGGGCTTTGCAAATCCCAGGAAGGGACAGCGGCTAGGTGCTCTGCCCCAAGTCCAGCCCACCAGGCCTCAGTGAGCACCCCTGGCTGTGACTTGGGCCAGCCCTCAATCCACTCAGCCCCTGTCTCTCTGAACATGCCCTGCCCTCCTGCCCGGCTGGCTGGGCTCTAGGAGGGAGTGTCCTGTGCAGGGCAGGAGGCACATGTGAGCTCAAGGGCACACCAACCCTCTCACTAGTCATGTGTTGGGCCCAGCACACACCCGCTCTCTCGCTGCTCACCCCCACCAAGGTCAAGCTTCTGAACCCCTTCTTAGAGACAAGGAGACCTGGGCTTGGCCCTCGAGTTCACGCAGTCACCAACATGACATACATTAGGTATTTGTCCTAATTCTCTCCCTCTCCTTTCCTCCCAGGTGAGCAGGTCCTGGGCACAGCCACACCCAAACCAAAGGTGCCCTTGGACAGGTCACTTTCTTCATTGCTCAGGCTGGTTTGAGTCAGGTTCCCATCACTTGTAACAAATCCCCTGGATTCCCAAGCCTCCGACCACACCCCTGCCTCAGGTCCTGTGCACTGCCCCAGCCTACAGCTCTCATCACCTTGCAGCCCATTCACCACTTTCAGCATCATCTCATTTTCCAACAGGCTGAAATCCAAATGTAGTCACTCTCATGATCCAGTACTCCCCGTGACCTGGTCCTAATCTGCATCTCCACCATCATTGCCCATCATTCACTAGATATGCACACGCCTACGATTGCAGGTACTCAGATCATGAGCACATATTGGATGAAGCAGCAAACAGCCCTGCCCCCGGGGGGAAGACAGACACCAAATGGGGAACATGATAAACAAGTAAATTATATAGTATGTGAGGAAATTGTAAGTGCTTCGACAGAAAAGAAGAAGGAAGGGAGGAGGGAAGGAAGGGAGGAGGGAAGGAAGGAAGGAAAGAAGGAAGGAAGGAAGGAAAGAAAGAAGGGAAGGAGGGAGGGAGGAAGGCAGAGGGGGAGGGAGGGAAAAAGGAAAAAAAGAAAGAAAGAAAATCTCTTTTCCAAAAACGAGAATCCTGGCTTCCAACAGCACTGATGGAATCTTGTATTTGCTCAATCCTACAAGACAGAAAATCATTACAGAATTGCTGCCCTGCACCAAAGTGAAAGCAAACCCACAAGTCGAGTTTGCAGATATTTGTTTGCAGGTATTTTGTCTGCAGGTCAAGGGTTGTGGTCAAGGTTCCACGTTCGATGTTACTTGAGTTAGTTTCTGTTGTGGTGCTGGGGTTGGTTTGTTGGTTTGGCTTCTTGACCTGTTTTGATTTGGTTTGGTTTTGGCGTGGTCATGTTATTATCTGACATACGATTAGCTCATATTTCCCACACGCTGTGATAAACGTTGATAATAAGTCAGTCTCTGTAGACCAGCTGGATTGTGTGTTCTCCCTGCTAACCCCAGAGCACACTGAAGGCAGGTGCTTATTATCTTATTCATCTTTATGTCCTTAACACCAATCACAATTTTTGTCATAGAGTAGGTGCACAGTAGATATTTGTTAAATTCAACCACTGAACCTAAAGGGTTTCTGGATAACTTTTTTGCAAAATCCCTGTAAATGCCATAATAAACAATTTGCCTACATATTCATAGACTAGCATCCAAACCACAAGGAATGTATGAATAATTCAGACATATGAAGAGGAGATGAATGACTCAGAATTTAGAACCCCACCTACTGTCCCCTGGTGAGGGGCCAGGGCTGCTCTCCAAGACCTACCTCAAGCCCTGTGCAGAACACGTAAGGTTCACCCACCTCCGAACGGATGCTGTGCTCCCTCCGCCTCAGGCAGGGTGCTCCCGCACACACGGGCAGCTGCTCAGACAGAGATGGTATCAGGGCCCGTGGGGATCTGGGAGTCTTGAACGCTCGTGGGAAGACCGATAGACTTCCGGGATGCCTTCCACGGAGCGGCTCGGGACAAAGTTGTGAATGCAGCGGCCAAAAGATCTGCAGTCCGTTGTGGGTTGAATAGAGCTCCCCAGTGCGCCGGCAGCTATAGGGAAATGCTCAGGAAAACGTGACGGCAGGTGTCCACTCTGCAAGCAGCCACGAGTCTTTGCTGAGGTCCTGCCGGGTCAGACCCTACACTGGATACAACAGGGGAAGGCATGCGTTTGAAAGGATGTCTCAGCCGCAGACGCAAGCCACACATCGCGCTCAGTGAGAGACTGACGTCCAGGAACGTGGACCGAGGGGCAGCGGTGGGTCAAGGAGGCTGGACTTGAGAATGACTTTCAGCCGCCAGGATCTGGTGACCAGCTGGATGTCAGGGACAGAAAGAAAGGCCCAGATGGGGAAAACTCAGGGCTTCCCACGTGGGAGGCTGCTCCACTCACCTGGACCCCAAGGGTCCTGGGGAAAGGGCCTATTTGACAGCAGAATGAGCCGCTCAGAAAACAGGACAGAGAAGACATCATTTCAGACCTGAGGCAGCGCAGACCTATTTGGAAAGAGGAAATACACAGATGAAGCCCTAAAATCAGTCAGGTGAAAGGAAAATAAAATCTCAGGACCCAGTTCATTCTGCCAAAGGGAAAAGCGAAGCTGGGAGCTGAGGCATGCAAGCCTCTGCCTTTCCTTCTGCTCCAGAGCAAATCGCTGCAGAGAACAGGCCGGGGGTCTCCACGGGGAGCTGCTCTTCTGCTGACTTTATCTTATGCAAAGATGTGCTGAGCACCAGACAAATACATGATGGATGATTCCTGTACCCCTGCTTTCCAGGGCGACGTGTGGATTCAGACATGTGACCACATCCCCTCCCCTTCCCCTCCTGCCTGCTTTTCCTCTTTCAGTATTAAATCAAAATCCTCTCTGGAAAAATCAGATCTCAGGTTGTTCCTGAGGTTTCGTGTTCCTTTTCCCCAGGCACATTCTGAATGCTGGCAGAATAAACCTCGGAGCTGATTGAGGCCTGTCTCCGGCACTTTTTGGTTTACAACTGTAAAGGGTGACTGCACAAGGGCTGAGATAAATGACAAGAAATTTATTGGAAAGACATGGTAGTCATCCTGGAAGCCTTCCTGCAGTGGGGGAGACTCAAGCCAGGCTTTAAAGACCATGAGAGGTGACCAGGAGAATATCCCTAAATGAGAAGGCAAATACTCAGAAAACACAAGCCTCTCAATCAAAAATTCTGTTTTAAGATAAAACGCTGGTGGAGGGGGACAGAGAGACAGAACCAGAGAGGGACAGAAAGAAAGGGAGGGGGAGAGGAAGGGAGAGAAAGACACAGAGGAGAGCAGAAAGGAGGAGAAAAGATAGGGAGAGTAAGAGGGAGCAGGGAGAGAGAAGAGGAGGGAGAAATGTTTCATTTTGCTTGGGGACAGAGCACTTACGAAAACAATTGAAATCTGTCCAGGAAGTGCCTTCCTATTTTCTTTCTGCTTCTCTCTAAGTAAATAATCTAAAGCCTCATGTCAAGTTGTTTGCATAGCTCTAGTAGCTAAGGTGAGTTTATTTAATTAAAGTGATGATTTCAGGCCGCCATCGGGAGTGAATCAGAACTGTCTCCTCGCTGCTCTTCAAAACCCCATCAAGGTGACTCTCTCCGCCCGACCCTGGAGGCTATTTTTATCCTCTTGATCTTGGTGTGATTAGTAAAGGCAATTAAGCAGCCGGATCAAAGCTCAGGGCCTCACGCCTTTTAGATGTTCCTTAACAACCCTGGCAAGGTTTGCAGGAATAAGCCTGTGTGGAGGCAAGCGTGGCCATGAATAAACATCGCCTGAGAAGGCGGAGGGCTGCTGGGCAGACAGGAGCAGGAGGCCATCCAGGGAGGGGCTGGGAGGCAGGGAGCCCCGTCCCACTGCTCTGGGGTGCCTGTCCCCTTCTGTGCCCTGTGCCTGTGCCTTCTCCTAAGAAGATGAATTCTTTGGGGTTTATGAAGAACCTCTCTCTTCTGCCTTAATTCAGTAAGAGTCAAGCCCCTTCTGCTGTCCACAGCCATAAATTGAAGGCAACTGTAGGCCCCTGAGGCCCACCCTAAATTTTGCTGTGGTTTTTCTTAAAAAATAAAAGTGCACTGCATTTTTAAAAAGAATTCCTGAGACACAAGGACCAGTCAGTATTTACAGGCTATAAAACAAATAAACCAGGTTAGCCTCATTTTCCCATGGAACCTGTGTGAGGGGCTTAGAGGCGTCAGGGTTCAGTCAGGCTTCCCACAGCAGGGCAGCTCCCAGAAAGAGAGGAGGAACCTGAGAGCACACAGACAGGCAGGGACCGCGCTCTTGCCCAGGCCCACAGCTGGCGGGCAGCAGACCCTGGCCTGGACCCTGGGCTCGGACCCCTGGCTGGATGCCGTGTGATGCTCCCAGGCGCGGACCCCTGGCTGGATGCCGTGTGATGCTCCACGGGCTGCTCCACAGCTGCTGCAGGAAGGAAGGAGCGGATGGGGAGCAGTGGCGTTTGGAAGTCAGAGTTTCCACAAGCACCATTTAAGTGCATGGATTTCCCTTCCAGGGATTTCCTTCTTCCTAGACCTTGGGGGCCTTCATCTCCAGCCTCTCCGAAGGAATAAATTCTCAGAAAAACAGGATTCACACACATAGCCTGCCAGAAGCCTGTGCCACTGCGTAAGTTGAGTGACTACGGAAGACAAAGTGAACTCCACAGCAGACGCTATGATCCACTCGAGCCTCGTCCAGGGCGTTTGTGGAGCACGTGGGACCTCCCTGCCATCCAGAAGCACAGAGGAGGCGTGTCCCCGCAAGAATGCCAGGAACAAAGAGCGGGGAATTTTCTCGCATCAAGAGGCCTCCAGTGAGGGGCACTGGCTGCCCTGGAGGTGACAGAGAGGCCACGTCAGCTACCTGCTGAGATGGCACTGGGAGCCTCGTGGAGCGGAGCAGCTGATCCCATCCAGGGTGCCTGCTGCAGACCTGGCACCACCTGGAAGGTCAGTGGGAGAGGGGCTTGTTCAGGCTCTGATGACCCTGTCAGACAGACAGACAGAGTCCAAGAGAAACAGAGACACAGAGAAACAGAGAGAAGCAGAGACAGACAGACCAATAAAGAGAGAGAGAAAAAAAAATACAGAGAGACAGAGATAGAGAGAAGCAGAGACAGACCAAGAGAGAAAAAAATACAGAGACAGAGACAGAATCAGAGTGAGACAGAGAGACCAAGGCAGAGACCCAGAAAGAGAAAGAGAGAGAAAGAGAGAGATACAAAGAGACAGAGACAGAAATAGAGACAAGTGTGTCTCCCAGGCCGCCGTCCCACCCAGTGCCAGGCCTGGCTGCAGTCTTGCCCCCGGTGCCCAGAGAGCCCTTCTCCCATCACGGGCCGTCTCCGCCAAGCCATGTGCTGAGCATGAGCTCCTGGGAGCCACAGTGCCCCTCACACCTGCAGTGAGGACTGAGGAAGCTGCAGATGGGAGCCGGTGACACAGCCAGCTGGCATCAGGCCTGGGGTGACAAGGTGCATGGCATGGCCAGGACAGCCCTGTGCAGGGGACGGAAGCTCAGGAGACAAGGTCAGAGGTGGTGGGGCCCCGCCACAGAGGGCACCGAGGGGAGGAACTGGGGCTTTGTTTCGCAGAGTGAGTGGAGGCCATGAAACTGAGCCTCACGCACCCCCAGCCACCACGGCAGCCTCATCGACGGCCCCGCTGCTGCTGCGGGAATCGCCCACGCTTCCCACAGACCTCCTACCAGTCCTGGGTGCAGGGGGCACCAAGGCAGGCCCTGTCCTGGGAGGCATGGGAGCCTGCTGAGGGCTGGTTTGGCGGGAGTAACGGTGGCCGGTTCTGGGAAGTAAAGTGCCCCCCCGCCTGGGCTGGCCAGCTTCCATGGGGGGCAGCACAGCCGACCTCACGTCACCAGTGGCTCACACATGGACCGTTTGCAGGCCTGCCCTGCTGAGCTGTGTGAGCCACCCGAGTGGCCCCAGCACCTCCCAGCTGATGCCCCCACCTGCAGTCCCCAGGACGCACCCCCTTCCTGCAGGCTCAGACCGCGGGGCAGTGTGTGCTCCCAGCCACCACCAGTGCTCACCCGTTTTCTCCTGCAGGTGTTTTTCCCAATAAAATCCGTGCATCTCTCATCCTGTCTTGGTGTCTGCTTCTCGGGAGACAGTCTCACACAGGAAACATGTCGTCAGCTGTGGGGGGTGGGGGAGGGGAGATAATTACCACGAGCCATGCCAGGACCCAAGAAAGGAGCGGCGGTGCCCTGCAGTAGGAGGCGGCAGCTGGATGGAGAATCAGCAGGGGCAGTGGCATGGCAAGCCCACCTCTCCCAGGGTTTGTGACCGTGATCTGCTGACGGGCTGGACGGGCACTAGCAGGTCACTATCGAGACGTTAGATGCTGCAAAGCACGAGGCACTCCTCATAAGAACTCAGCAGTCATTAGAGGTCATGTGTGGGAACAGTGCCGTTCATTACAATTGATCAGTGTTTGATATTGAAAGGGTCCGACCAAAGTGCCTGCAGGATGCAGAAAGAGGGTGTGATTAGCACAGGGGAGTTCAGAGTCGCCCCGCGCCTGCTTCCCAAGCTCCAGAGACACTTTCTGCAGCAGCCGCACTCCTGACAAATGTGGCTACAGGTGGGATTTGGAGGAACCAAGTGTGATTTCTTTTTTTTTCTTTTTTTTTTTGAGACAGAGTCTCGCTCCGTCGCCCAGGCTGGAGTGCAGTGGCCGGATCTCAGCTCACTGTAAGCTCCGCCTCCCGGGTTCACACCATTCTCCTGCCTCAGCCTCCCGAGTAGCTGGGATTACAGGTGCCTGCCACCTCGCCCGGCTAGTGTTTTGTATTTTTTTAGTAGAGACGGGGTTTCACCGTGTTAGCCGTGTTAGCCAGGATGGTCTCGATCTCCTGACTTTGTGATTCGCCTGTCTCGGCCTCCCAAAGTGCTGGGATTACAGGCCTGAACCAACCCCCCCCGGCCCCAAGTGTGATTTCGATTCACTCGAGTAGCTCACGGCTCAGAAGAACCCTGCGGTTTCCACCAGTCCTTTAGAAATGCAGAGTGTGGGAATTCCAATGAAAAGGCCCTGAGGAGGGCGTGTGGTTACGGGGTCCCTTGGGCTTGATAAGGGGAAGGACAAGGGACAGTAGCACAGGCAGAGCCTGCATTGGAGATGGGAGTGGGGGCTGTGGCCTCGGTACACAGAGGAGGAAGAGCTCAGCAGAGTCAGTCCATGTCCACAGCCTGCTCCGAGGACCAGGGCAGCGACCTCTGGGGAAGAGGATTTTGAGAGATTTGAAGGGAAGGGCTGGCTGCATGACACAGAAGTGGCAGGAAGAGGTTACAGGTCCTGTCAGAGCCGCGTTGCCTCTGCAAGGCTGGGCGCTGGAGAATTCTGCACGGGGTGGAGTAAGCGTGGTGACCCAGGGTTCAGGCCACTGTCCTGGGGTTGGAGGTTGCCACAGGGGGCTGTTGTCTTGGGCCCCACCTGCTCACTTCTCCTAGGGAGACTGGGGGTCTCTCGCCCCGCACATCTCTGTCTGGACAAGGAATTCGCCCAAGGGACCCCCCTGAGTCCGGAGGGAGGGAGGGAGAAGAGTTCTGGCCCCAGTCCTGCCCCCCACCCTCCAGCCCTGTCCTAGGTCTGCCAGCTGAGCTGTCCCAGCACCGTGCCCCGAGACCCTAGATCACATGCGCGTGACTGGCACTAAGTCAGAGGACCAACCACTCAGCGGCACACTGCCTTTCCCCCGCCCTGGCCTCCTGATGGGGAAAACAAGACTAAGTCATCAAGTCTGCTCACTTCCACCAGGGCTGACGAGAAGCTCGGGGAAGCCAGGGCTGGTGAGCAATGTCTGGAGAAGGGGATGCCATGACAGCTGTGCCCACATGGCAGCTGGCCCTGTCTCCCTCCTCCCATGGGGCCCGTCAGTGAGGACTGTCCAAAGAAAAAGGACATAGCGTCCAGGCCACCCAAGGGGAAAGGGGAGAACGATGAACAAGGGCTTCCGGGAGCCCAGAATTGCTGAGGCCACAGCAGTCCTGGAGCCCTACATGGCGGGGATGTCAGGCTAAGGGCAGACATGATCTGAAAAAGGAAAAGTGGAAGAAGAAAGAAAACCATGAGGTTAGCTTCCAGAGGCTGGGAATACACCACTCCTGATCATAACAGTAACAACAGCCACCAGCAACACATGTGCACACACGGCACGTCCCACTCTCCAAGTTCCTCACATGTGAAGTTCCTTCTTCCAAAGCCCCAACCTCATTCTGCTCAAGCTGCCATGGGAAAATACATCGGACGGGGTGGTTTATGCAGCAGATGCCTGGGAGCCCAAGATCAAGGCGTCGGCAGGGCTGGCGTGGTGAGGGCTCTGCCTGGGGCTGTGGGGCGCCTCCTCACTGTGTCCTGACCTGGCCTTTCCTCTGCATACAGGAGAGAAGCAAGCGACGGTTTCTCTTTCACTCCTTATAAAGACACAACTCTAGAGGGTAGAGGCCCCTCCCCTGTGGCCTCACTTAGCCTTCATCCCCTCCCTATACACCTGTCTCCGTGTACAGTCACACCGGGTTAGGCCTCAGCATGTGAGTACTGGTGGGATGCAGTCCAACCTCTAACAGCCCACTGGAGAGAGGCACAATCCTATTATTCAGCCCATTTTACAGGTGAGGACCTGAGGCCCAAAAAGTTGTTTCTTACCTAAATAAGTGGCAGCCAGAACTCAAACTAAGGCAGTTTCTCTATTAAAAATAAATAGCTTATAATCTCCGGAAGAGCGACCTTTCATGGTAAGAGGTGTCAGTTTGGCTCAGAAGGGAGAGGTCCTGTGTTGATCTTCCTGTCCCACTTCTCACGTTTTCCAGCCTCCCTATCTTTGCTAAGGCAGCTCCCTCCTGCTGGAAGGTTCTTCTCGATCGTCCCTTTTCCCATTAAAATCTCATCATCTTTCAAGACCAGTTCAAGTGCTGCCTCCTCCAAGAAGTCTTCCTGATCACTCCTGGCAGAAGTCACCTCCTCTCTCTCTCAGAGCATATTCCATCACAACATTGCCGCCTGCAGAGGGGAATTCTGTACGCTCGGATGGAGAAGCACTTGTTATGCTGGGAGGTGAGATGCTTCACGAGCTACCTGCCTGCTAAGCTTGCATGTTGTCTCTTGACTTCAAGAGCTTGTTTTATACGCAGAACACGAGACACCTGATGATGTGAACTCCACTAGAACCCTCATTCTACTCAGGCGGCAGGCCCGATGAGCACACGCAAGAGTCGGTGGCCTAATCCTCTTGGCATCTGTTACAGTAAACGCATTGTCGTGGGAACACGCCAGGCCCATTTGCCCAGGTATCACCCACGGCTGCTTCTGCACTACAACAGCAGAGTTACGGTCACAAATCCTAAACTATTCACTGTCTGGCCCATTCCTGACGTTTACCTGCCCCTGCCCCAAACCCGCCGCCACGCAGAGCTGATTCCTGGGCAGTGATAGATGGTGTCTCTTTCACTCCTTAATAAGACACGATTCCATGGGGTAGACGTCCCTCCCTGTGACCTCACTTAGCTCCTAGCTGACCCAATCAGCTCGCCTCCTCCCCTGAGGGAACCCTGCCATTCTCAGAGGAGGGAGCATCGTCTGACCAACAGGCTGAGGAATGCCAGCCGTCCACGGGCTGTTATCTGATCCCTCACTCACAGAGGAATCCTTTGTGGGGATCAGAGTCATTGATCTTCATAAAAACAGTCAAACTCTTGTTATCTTGGCAGTACCTGCACCAGGCAGAAACACAACCTGCACCACATCAGCCTTGAACATTGTCTCCTAGAAGCTTGTGGACGGATTTTATTCCGTATTAAAAATGATAAAATGGAAGGTGTGGCATGTTAGATAACTGCATCAGCTACAGACCATCACTTTCTTTTCTCTTTTTTCTTTTTTCTTTTTTTGAGATGGAGTCTTGCTTTGTGGCCCAGGCTGGAGTGCAGTGGTACAATCTTAGCTCACTGCAACCTCTGCCTCCTGGGTTCAAGCAATTCTCCTGCCTCAGCCTCCCGAGTAGTTGGAATTACAGACATGCACCACCACGCCCAGCTAATTTTCATATTTTTACTAGAGACGGGGTTTTGCCATGTTGTCCAGGCTGATCTCGAACCCCTAACCTCAGGTGATCCACCCACCTCGGTCTCCCAAAGTGCTGGGATTACAGGTGTGAGCCACCGCGCCCAGCCCAGACCATCACTCTCATGTGTGGTTGCCAAAAAGCCTCAGTCAAAAAGAATATGTAGATTTACTTACAGGCCCAAGAAAGGGGCCTGTTGAAGTGAATGATGGCCCTCCCACGGGACGGCCCACTGTGCAACCATTACAAATCACGCCGAGGAAGGGAAATATGTATGAATATGAATCTTAGAGGAAAAAGGTTAGAAAAGATCCTATCTGCCAGCAAAAGAAAGAAAACGTGGACTTTATAAGGTCATTATGCAGAGTAGGGGCTTTGGAAATGTGCTGGCTGCCGTCATGGCTCTAGAACAGCTATTCTGCCTCGGACTCCCATCACAAAAACTGCATTCGGGGTCTGTGGCCTGCAGTGCCCCACGGATCACCACGCGCTGCTCTTTCTCACATTGGCTCAAGTTTCAGGGTGAGCGCGGGCATCAGTGCCACGAGGAATGAGGTGCGTTCGACTTTCCTGAGCACTCCCTGAAGGAGACGGACCGACCAGGCCTCCCAGGTGTCTGTCTTGGCAGCGGCCGTCCGTCTGGCTGGTCCGTCCGTGTCTATGTCCATGCACTGGTGGTTCTGAAGCTTCATTGTGTGTAAAAATCACAGGGGAAAAATGCAGCTTCCCTGGCCCCCTGCTACCAGGGACTCTGATTCTGAGGGACCGGACTGGGAGCAGGTTTCTTCCTGAACAAGTTCCCTGGGATTCAGACGCAGGTGGCCTAGTGACTGCCCAAGAAACACTGCTGGAGCCGGTGAGCTCCCCAACATGGCAGGCCAGAGGTCTCTCACTCCACACGCATTTCTGCATTTCTGCTGTTAGACTCATTCTTTTGTGGAAACAGCAACCTGGGCTGGTCCCCATCGCTGAGACCGAATCCTTGGGCTCAGATGAGGCCTAAACAATGATACACCAGTCTCGTCCACTTCACAGCACCGAATTTTCTGAGATTTAACGAGAGCCGACTCACTGGGAATATCTCCAGAGCAAGGAATTAAATGCCTGACCAGAGCCTAAAAGCGGAGGACAGAGGCCTCCACCCCTGGCTACCCACTGCAGCTGCTTCGGCCAAGCCATGCGACATTTCTGCCTCGACCAGTGGAAACCATCCCGTGGCAGGGGGAACAATGGCCCCAGAGACATCCACGTCTGGATCCCTGGAACGCGAGCATGTGTCAGGTTCCATGGCAGAGGATGACAGTTGCTCATTGGTGTCCTTGAGACCAGAGATTCTCCTGGATCATCCAGTGGGTGAATGTCATCCCAGGTGCTTCTGGTGAGGAGGGCGGGAGAGTAGTC